TAGAGCTTGGTAGCCACTACAATCAATCATTCAAATGCACATACTATAACATAACATCATCATTTCCATATTTTTTCAATCAACCTAATGATCAAACAAGACAATGAACTCTGTCATTACTACAACATAGACTCGACTCGACCTACTACTCAATGACTTGACTTTGACACCATTCATCCTAGACGGACCTACAGGCTCGTTCACATACATCCCACCTTGCCTCGGACAATCACAAGATATCTTACGTGAACCAATGTGTCCCAGCTTCCTAAATGACTATCCGAGTTGCAGCTCATTGGCCCCTTCTGGCTATGTCTACCACCCGGATCCTAATAGTCATAATTTATGCCACAACTTGGCATGACTCGATCTTCAGCACCCTTTCACGGTTTCTATCCCACATTTTGCAGACACCATCCGTTCACGGTCTTGTCACTCAAATTTCCGCAAGTACCTCTTCTTAGGCTATTGTCCCGTGGGTACTCATCACATCAGTTATTAGGTGCCACCCGTTCTCAGTGACTCAATTAATACATCTTTCACATTAACTCATTCTCGTTACTCATTCTCACTCACATACTCATTTCTCATTCTCATTCACATATTCATTTCTCATTCTCATTCTCATTCACATTCACATTCACATTCACATTCACTTTCACATTCACATTCACATTCACATTCACATTCTCATTCTCATTCTCATTCTCATTAACCCTAATTTTAAACACATATCACTAGTCAACACCCGTTCTATTCATGATACAAAGTGTAAGATCCACTATTAAAGTATGTGTGCACTTCTTTCTATCAACCTAACTTTCATCATCATTCATCACAAATATCATAACAACCAATCACACAAGCAGTCCTTCATAACATCCATCCACATCAACACAAGGTAGTTCATTAAGTCCTTTAAACAGTGTGAGGATTCTTATGCATTGTGATCCATTCATCTATCAACCTAGCTCACGTTGTGAACTAGCAACCTAACTTTCATACAAAGACTATCCAACCCCTGATTCCAACATCAAATTGTGTTTGAATCACCTCATTTTAGAATAGATTTGAAGATATGGGTCTGAATATGAGAATTTGAATCTGAGAGAATCCAAAAGCTTTCGGTCAACACGCCACCACCACCACTTGATATCAGCGAGAGAGAGAGAGAGAGAGAGAGAGAGAGAGAGAGAGAGAGAGAGAGAGAGAGAGAGAGAGAGAGAGAGAGAGAGAGAGANTGTGTTTGAATCACCTCATTTTAGAATAGATTTGAAGATATGGGTCTGAATATGAGAATTTGAATCTGAGAGAATCCAAAAGCTTTCGGTCAACACGCCACCACCACCACTTGATATCAGCGAGAGAGAGAGAGAGAGAGAGAGAGAGAGAGAGAGAGAGAGAGAGAGAGAGAGAGAGAGAGAGAGAGAGAGAGAGAAAGATTCGCTCGTGTCCTCCTTGTTGATAATCATTGCGTATTTTTATAACCAAAGCTTGGTTGAATAGAGTCTTGCAACGTGTCGGTTTTTAGTGGTGCCGACACTTTGTATAATACTTTTTGAGGCTTGCGTGGTGCAGAAAGTTTTGAGTGGGCTGCTATTGAGATTTTTTTTATTCAAAAGTCTTCATGTGGATCCTATCTTTGCCGAACAACTTGTTGGTGATGATTGCCTAGCATTAGTCGTGAATACTTAATGATTATATTGATATACATTATTTTGTAGATAGTAATACGAAAATAAAAATATTAAATTAAACAGTAAAATACAGAAATAATGTACAAAGTCTACTAAAATATACTTTGAAAACTAAAATACTTTGTCAAAAAAAAACTTTGAAAACTAAAATCTAGACATTATTTGTACGTTTTTTTTTTTGTTTTCAAACTTCAAATGGATCCTGACCCAATGGGCCACAAAAAGGATCCCAGGTTTGGGGTTAATGTTTTCCTTTGTAGGTGATGTTGGTTTTTGATAAAGTCCGATGCTGTCATTGGATTTTTCTGATCGCTCATCGTTAATATTTTGTTGTTTGTTTTTTCCTATTAATATTCTCTTGTTAGAAAATATGGTAAAGAATTGTTTCTCCTGTAATATATTGAATATCAAAATCAAATAGTGATAATATTGCTTGCCATCTGGTATTTGTTTTTGATACTAGTTTCAATTGATTTAATATTTCATTTTCAGGGAATTTGGTTTGTCTTTTTATAGGTTTAAAAATTGGGTAAGTTGTAGATTAGAACGGATGTTGAGTGTTCTGTTCTACTTTATTACATTCGTTGGTATTTATTTTATTATCAATACTGTTTATTTGTTTAGAAATCGTATAGAGTAATTGACTTTAATAATTGTTATGTTGGCATACTGATATAATGTCTTGCATGAGTACTTGTTCTTTATTGTCTTTATTAGCCCCAGTTTAAAAGGAGTGGCTAAAATATGTCGATTGTATTTAATTTTAAATCTTCTAACGGTAAATGAAGTGGTTTGATTTTATTACCATACTAGGGGTTGGCCCGGACTACGCCCAGGATTTTTCTATAATTTTGAATTTAGTTATATGTTTAGTATCTATATGTATATATGTAAGAGCATATATAAAAATATATGGCGTCAGGCAATTTAAAAATTATTTGCAGTTTCTTCATTTGTAAGCCTTCATTTGTTTTGCTTATTCAAGTGTGCGTCAGTATGCTAGCTTACATTCCATTCTCTTGGCTTTTTTTTCATAAACTCGGTGCCAACACCTCGGTTAACCAACAATTTCCATATAATTATGTTTATAACACTAATTAATTGTTATAAAGGGCATTAATTCATGCTAAAGGGTTATTATACAAAGGTATAACCAACTCTAACTTCAATTTGGAGTTATTTGCTGTTCACCATCTGCATTTATTAATATTCAATCAACTCCAACTTCAAAATACAGCCTTAGACATATTAGAGATAAGGTGTTTCAAATAGTTAAGTTAGTTTTTTATACTGATTTTTATTTTGTATTAAAAGATAATAGAAGATTTGATTTTTTAAGATTTATTAAAATGCTTTTTATATTTTGTTAGAGTTAACCAAAATATCAAGCTAATTTTCTGATAGTTTTTAGTTTTATATCAAGTTTTGTTTTGTTAAATACGAATTTTTAAGTATTTCTATATTTTAAAACATACTCTCTCTTTTTAATTATAAGTGTCATTTTAGCTTTTTGTACACGGATTAAAAAAATAACTAATTTTACATATTTTTATATAAAAAACACAATTATCTATACACCTAAAAATATTTCAAGCAATAGAAAAAAAATTACATAATAAATTAATAAATTTTGCATTGAAAACTAAAAACGACGATTATTTTGTAAAGAAATAAATTTTCTATTGTAACACTTAATATAAAACGGGGTGAGTATTTTTTAGTTAGTTTTTAGGTTGGTTTTCCAAAATAATTTTTCAGAACATCAAATTAACTTTAAATGGTTCTTTTAGAGTATCATTAAACAATCGAAAACTAATATGGATTTAAAGATAACAGCCAAATATAATTAACTAAGAGAAAATAAAACATATGTATGGGACATTTAACTTTCTAATAATCTCTGCATGTCAATATAACTTCCTTCTTTGGCCATTTTCAACCTGATTTTCACCCTAGAGATGGAATGTGTCTGTATTTCTTGAGCTACATGAGGCATGATAAAAAACGAAATGAAATGCAAAATAATTAAAATAAACAATAGGATACAAAATATTGAGATTGTACGCCGGATTTTGTTTCAAAACTAAGTTGTTCATGAGATTTAAGAACTGAATACCTGAACTCGAGTAGGAGTCTTACAACCCACAACTCGCCAGTGAGTTATAAAAAAAATATTAATTCAAATGTTTTTATTTGAATTTTTTGAAATTCTAAAATTTGTTGTAAAAAATAATGAGCTAGAGAGAGAGAGAGGGAGAGGGAGAAGGAGAGGGGGANGAGAGAGGGAGAGAGGGAGAGAGAGAGAGAGAGAGAGAGAGAGAGAGAGAGGGAGAGAGGGAGAGAGGGAGAGAGGGAGAAGGGGATAGAGAGAGAGAGACATCCAGAGAGAGAGAGGGAGGGACTGCTACTATTTATAAGAAAAAGAGAGAAACCCTAATGAATCATAGACAAGGTATTTCTCTTTAAATTTTTTTAATAGGCAGTTTTGGGATGTTACAACAACACTCTTACTGTGAACTGAATGGAATCATGGTGTTATTAAAGTGATGTTCGGGCTATTTGTGTGTTACATTAAATCTCTCTGATTATTCAATCCTTTCTGTTCCAATAACAAATATGTCGCATTTGTTTTGCTATGACTTAAGAATTTTTTCAGGGGATAGTGTAAAGGCTAATGGGTCTCGTGGGTTAATTGTTAGAAAACTAGCATGGAGCATAAATGGGTTTTGGAGGGTTAATTTGATATATTATAGGCCGAGTCAGGTGGTCGTTAGAATGTATATAGCTCAAAGATTCTGATTTGTAACAGTACATGTGGAGTATTTTTGAAAACGAGACTGTACAAGTTCAGTTGCTGAGATTGAGGTTTTATGAAAGTGTTGTATAGCGAGGAGCAGATATGGGCAAAGATGGAGACTCTAAGGAAGATAGTAGGATACAGTGTTGCCAGAAGCACTATACATTCAGAAGAGTTGAAGGCACTTTACATGTTAACGGGTGAGGAAGTGGAAATCCCTACATCATTGTTGGAGAAGAGAGTCAAGATATTGCACAAATTAGTGCGGGACTTCACTTTTTAGTGTCTGTTATTGGAATTAAATAGAGAAATTTTGTTAGGTGATCGTTTCTTTTTGTGTTTAAAAAGAGACAAAGTGATATCAATTTAAGAAATGTTACTCACCAAAGGTGGTGGAGAAATAAAGAGATGAACAAGAGAGACTACAGAACCTGCAGCTAAGCTATGGCTTTCAAGAGACTATCTGATTTATTCAATATCTTTACGAAAGATATTAATACGAAATAATTCCGATAACCAGAGACAACGATGTCATTGTCAACAAACTGTTTTCTTTTTTTGGGTTTATTTGTGCAGAAAGCACAATGAATAAAGCATTTTCTGATCACAAGCCATGAATTAGTTTTGTTTCAGTACAACTTTGTTCCCAAACTTCCAGTAAGAAAATTGCACACAAGTGAAATAACAAAATAATTGAGAGTTATATAACTGCGGAATCATGCAATACTTCCATAGTCCATCCTTCCATGAGACGTCGATGGAACATTCGGGACATGATGGTTACTCCTACGTCCTCCTACAAGCCACTTTAATTTAACAGTCTTAAAATCAATCAGAAGCTGTGAACAAGAAGGTTCTATAGATAGAATTAGTTATGAGTGCAATAAAAGTACCCCAAGGGACACCACTGATATATGAGCTACCTCTGGGTGAGCGTTGACCCCCAGAACTAGTGTTGGACGGAGGAAGCTGAGCATTTATGTGATTCCTATCCATAGACCTTCCAGCGTTTGGTCTCCCATGATTGGACCGTTGAGGAGGTTGCTGCCCTAAGCGACTTGAAGAGTTCTGGGAGACATGAGGAGTGAATGGCGATCCTGGCATAAGCTGGCCAAATCTGGCATAAGGATCATTACCTGGAGGGCTGCCAATCTCTACTTGCGAAAAGGGTTGATTGGGAACATACCTCCTGAAGTTTAGATTAAAAGTTACGAGCAATTAAGCCAATCAGATTCATCAAGTCTAAAAAAAAAAAAAAAAAGCAAAAATGGTTCCAGGACAGAAGCTTAAATTCAGTATTAGAGCACGTTCGTGTGGTAAACAATACATCATGTCGTCTGACATCTTATGTCAAATTGCTTTTTTACAGAGTCAATAATTTTGTAGAATGATTTGTTATTCTTACAAATTGCTTCAGATACACATCCACCAAGAATCAGTCTTGTACACACATACTATACAAAGCACTGTCATGCACATAGATAATATCACAAATTCAAGAGGCATCAACATCAAGTATATGACTTTTCACGTTTCTATAATCTAGTCGAAAAACATAGTTCTGATACTCAAAGCTAATACACAGAATGCAGTGCTACGTATGTATAAATGGAAGATGTCAATCTAAATATCACCAAAGTTACTCGTGGGGTATATGTTCACGCATTCTAACAGAGGTTCAACAGCAAAAGAAAGAAAGGTTCAGCATACTTTCCCCAGATTGTCTTTTAGGTTACCTTTGAGTTACCGGATTTGATGATGAGGAGGTCGAGGGATTACTGTTGAACCTTCTCGAACTGGAGGCATCTGTTGAACCAAGTTGCATACCTCTACTGAATGCATTAACAATATTACTTTCATCTGCGCTATCTTCTTGTAGAAGCAATTCTTCACTGTTCATGTAAAAAACTGTGCATATTATAACTCTTCCAAATAAAAGGATTGGAAGCAAACATGTATCTTATGCGACTGCAAATAGCAGAATCAAAAGAGATTGTTATCATTTCAGCTAGGAAGATTAAACAGAGCACAGAATAACATCAAGTAACAAAGAATGATTTCCCTTTAACTACGAAGGCACTAGAGGATCAGGAGTTGACACGAGCTTTTGATATAGTTTAAATACCTAAAATGTGTCTATCTACATTCAAAACCCAACTACGAGTTAGCAATGATGCATAAGGGAATGTGACATGTCTGGTCCGAATGGTAATACACAATATCACTCATATTCTATATAAGCCTAGCCAGATTTGTCACAGTACACAACATACACTAGTAGAAAAGAACCTTGACACTCTATAATATGAAAATCAGGGAATATCTTGAGTACTTGCCTGTAATTTGGGTCCCAATCCCCTGGATCAGGCTCTGATAAGGCATTTTCCGTATTCTCAATATTGGGTCCAGTACTGGAAGGGTTATACATATTGGACCGAAGAGATGAGCTGGAAATATTATAGGTAGAGTACCCAGAACCTCCTTGTGTCTGTTTACAGTATTGGAACCCCGGATCCAAATGCCGATGTGAAAGTGAACCAGAGAATTGCCCAGAATAACCCTCATTTTGATGTAAATTGTCCACCTCGTGCCCTTGCGCTTGTGGCAAGGAAGAATCCTGAGACTGAGAACCTCCAGAATATCCAATGCTTTGTCTTCTGTTAAACTGACTGAATGCCGCCATTTTTCCTAAAGGAGACCCGTGGCAACTGTTTCTTACTGGAGATGTCGGACCATGGTGTCCAGGAGAGCCAGATAGAAATTGATGGTTTGAATTTGGTGGAGTAAATTGTGACGGACTAGTGCCGAGGGGTAGTGGAGCAAAGTTTCCCGTGGATGGACTTGTACCAAGGCCATTTCCATGTGGTTGTGAATACTGCATAACCCTACGTCTGGCGTCAGGACTAGTTCCAACCGTTGGGACACCACTTCTGTTTTGCATGTATAGGCCAGTATGATTCACAGGTGAATAATAGGCAAACATATTGCTGTTATCTCCATAGCTCCCGTAGCTACTTCCCTGTATAGTACCCTCATTGTAGCTGCCATAGCTTCCGATACTCCCATAACTATTTGCATGTGAGTAAGGCATCATCTGAAAATGGGGACTATTGTGCATAGGGATTCTGGTTCTCCCTGATACCTATATGAGAAATAAATAACTTTAAAAAAGAGGTTCACAAACACCTTGAAGGTCTACAAAATATTCTAAAGAAAAGGAGTAATACGTGAGGAGAAAGACCAGCGGCAAACCAGTGCCCTCCCCCTGGATGATGGTCCACTTTGATATTTTGAGTAACATGCTACAAAGAAAATGGAAAGATAACAAGAACCAATTCAGCGAATAGATGAATTTTTACACACGTTTCACAACAAGATAGAACTGCATATGTCTTTCAGCTAATTTTGATGAAATAAACCCATCACTGGTATGACAGCAAGGCTAAACAAGAAGTATGAGAAAATGGGCAGAAATTCTATCTGACTCCCCACATGAGGTGTTTCTGGCGGAGGGTTGTATGGGCACGTAAAAGGTTCCCCAGTGATAAAAGGGTGCTTAGCAGCCTAGAGAAATAAAAATAGATGTTTATCCAAAGGGTAATAAGATAATATGAATCCTTGAAAACTAGGTATATAGTATAGATGACGTTAGCAAAGAAGTTCAATACCTGAAAAGGTGACCAACGTTTGGCTGGATCAAATTCAACAAGTCCTCTCAAAAAGTCTATAAGAGCTAACCGGATCTGAGTTTCTGTGATTAGTTCATGAAAAAAGAAACCGTCACCATGGAAGATAGTCCAGTGATTATCCCTGAAACTTTAAACACTGTAGGGTCCTGACTTTACCTTTGGCAACATCGTCTTCAGGCAAGTTTATTTTGTACGGATAGCCTTTTACAATTTCTTCAAGGTTCTTATGGCGGAAGTACTCTTTCCCAATATCTGGCTTTTTCTTTTCTCTCTGAAAAAAAAGTGAAAAATGCCACAGGGTTTATCCAGAGAAAAGGTCAAAACTTAATGACTATATCTAAGAATAAAAGTAATATCTTCACGAAACAATCTTAAGCCTTTTTTGTTCAGTGACATAATTATCTTCCTTTGTTTTCGATATTTTAATATCTTTGTTTGTCTCATAGGTAGAGCAAGAATTACTTACAGCTTCAAATTCTGCTTCTGTCAGTGCCATATAAGCACTTTTGAGGCCGCCATGAGTTCCACCATTCCCTAAATTGTGGACACTCCCAACACATTTAAAGAACTTATTCGCATTTTTGGCTTCCTTGAGCACATAATCAGGTGGTTGCTTTCTGGAAGACAATATGACATAATATTGATACAATCACAACATAAAAACAGAATAAGAAAAGTTCCTGGCTCCTAGAAATCTTGACACTTATTGGTTAAATAGAAATGAGGACTTCATAATTGTACAACCATTGAAAGCTAAAGTAAGGACTGCTGAATACAGAGGTCAATAAAAGAACGAATGTAAGCACCAAGAGAAGTCTAACACCATAGAACAACCGCTACTAGGAAAATGATTTCTTGTACAATATTATGAAACAAAAAAGGTATGAGTAAGAGTATGTTGACCATCAAGGGTGTGAACCCCCAAAAAATTTCTCTGACCCCGAAAATTATAGTCTGCTTGGTCATTTACCAGATTCATAATGAAAGATCATACCCCAGTATTTCAATCATACGTCTCATGATATCAAATTCAGAAGCTCCTGGAAACAGGGGCAATCCAAGAAATAGCTCCGCGACAATGCATCCGAAAGACCACATGTCGATAGCTGTAGTGTATCTACAGAGTGGTTAAGCCTCAACATACAACTTGAAGATATGATGTACCATGGAAAGAAAGAACAAAAAAGCAAAGAACTTCTGTTAGCATTTAAATTAATGCGGGATAGGAAAGTAACGATTTGATAGGACTATAGCAACTCAGTTATCGCCAAGGCCAGTGAGAATTCCGCTACCAACGACTATGAGAAAATATTCTAGTTTTGTTTATTATATTTAAATTAAAAAGGATACTGGTAACCAAGTAAAACTTCCGGCGATCTGTAGTAACGACTCTGTAGAAAAATGAATTAGGTAACTTAATCCATTTGTTTGGTTTGACACTTTGACATAACAGAAAAAACAGGTAAATAGGAAGCAAGAAGGAAACCTGAATATATGAATAAACAGTCCGGTCTTCCATGCACGCTGATCCAAAGTCGATTATCTTAATTTCAGTTGGCTTAATACTGATGCAATTGAAAAAATATTCAACTAAATTAAAGTTATGGACTCCAGTTGTGTGTATAGGATTAGTGGTAGAAAGTAGACCTGGCACACAGAAGAATGTTCTCTGGCTTTAGATCACAATGAATTATGCCAGCATCTTTCAAAAGAGCCAAACCAAGTAAGATCTATGGGACACCATAAGAAAACAGTCGATACAGTAAAATCAGACGCTATAACAAACAAAATGGTGAAAACACAGATCCAAAAAATATATATATATACCTGCTTAGAGAAGAGCTGGACTATGCTTAACGAGAGACCTCTAAATTGATTTATTTTTATGAGCTCATACCTAAACCATAAATTACCAAGGACAATGGAATTATCATAAATAAAAACTGTATACAGTTGGCATTAAGGAAATAAGAGGACACGTAAATAATCACAAAGACGGAGCAGAATACTTCTTTAGTTCTACAACTTACAGATTCATGTCCAGAAGTTCAAAGCATATACACAAATGACGTTGATGTAAGAAGTAGTCGTAAATGCGAACAATATGGTGCTTATCCTCTGGATCATACTTCTTGTTTAGCTACAAACCCAACCAATCCGAAATTTATGAGACAGACCTCATACGATTTTTAGTACTAAGACAAAGTATCATTCAAGTACAGAAGAATCACCTACCGTTGTCAAAATAGATACTTCGACCAGCGCCTGCTGATAGTATGCAGGCTGGTTTTTTATTACTTTTACAGCAACAAAACTGTTTGTCTCAGGAACCCAGCATTTAGCAACCTGACCAAAAGTCCCATGGCCAAGAAGATCTTTGACAATGTATCTAAGAGCACGAGGTGAAGCTTAATCAAAAAGACATCTTTTGTAGATAAAACGCGGTTCAAATTTTATGCCTCAAACAGCAAAACAGAAGGAGAAACAGTACCGGCGAAATGAAAACTGAAAATAAATAAGAAAATAGCAAACCTCTGCCGTGAATCTGAACTGCACAAATCATCATTTACAGCCAGAATTAGGTCGGAGTTGGCATTATCAAAGCCATCATTGAGCACACCAACCGATGGAGTAGTCAAGTACCGCTTGGGATTCAACTCTCCTCTATATTTGAACTGTGAATTGCACATTTTGTATGTCTCAACCAAGCCTCTAGTTAGTCTCACCACTACCTACAAACAGACAAATATATCAAAGCTAATTTGAGCTCTGGAAAGTATTGGAACAGTAACAAAAATATACATGTCTGATGACTTGTCAAAAATCATAATAGTGATCAAGTACAAGATAAAGAGGTAGATAGAACATGGAATATAAGTAACCTCCTGTGAAGTTATGGAAAGAAAACAACAACATTTATCAAGTATCATCGACTACCTATGTAGCAGCTAATATTAATGACATATCCAATCATTCAACCAAGACACTAGCGAACCCCACAATACGAAAATGGAAAATATTTTGCATCAGATTCAAAATGTTGTTGGTTGGACGATACTAAAAAGCAAGAAGGGGCAGTAGATAACTCAAACCCGAACCTCGCCTAACATCCTTCAGCTAAAGTACTATGGTAATTGCATTGAGCTGTATGTACTTCTTGGCAGTGCATTTACCTAATTAATAACCCATAACATAGTAGAATTCCGGTAGAATAAATGAGTGGAAGCATCTTCTAAGCCAGCATAGAACTCCTTCACTACTACTGTAAGCGAGTACAAACTAAGCTATTCGTAAAGACTGACATGCATTACTGAACCAACAGACACCAATTGCCTTTTCTCTATCCGTTCCCAATATAACAAATAAAAAAACCTGTAATCTTTGCAGAATGGGAAAATCAAAGCATCACACGCAGATTAAAAAAAAAGAGTTTGCTTTAAAGCATTTGAAAGATGACATGCTAAAATTTGCAGAGCTCCCACCCAAAACAAAGAGAAAGAAAGAGCATTTCTCACCGACTTCTTCTTATTGGCAGTAGCAAGCAATGTCCCACCTCTGATAGCAGGTCCATTCAGTGGGATGTAACGCTTGAAAACAAGCTCAACTGGCTGCCACGGTGTTGATGCACCTCTAGAGCCCATCTCATCCATAATCGGAACCGAATCAAAACCTCAACTGACCACACCCAAAGCAACACAACTTGCGTTAGATTACAGTTAAGAGCTCAGAGAAATCAGGAGTTTTCGATGATCAAGCCGATTGACTCAAGTCCCATGCCCTCTTTTCTTCATCAAGTCAGCGCACTCCAAACCCTATATTGATCCATAAATAAACACAAATGCATAAAAGGAATCCACTTGTAAGGCGTCTGGATAAAACCGGAAACAGGGTAAGGCCCGGATGATTTCAAGTGTGATTCAGAGGTGAAACTGAAAGCGGAGGACGAAAGGCTTGCAGCCCTGGTGTAGGAGATTGCGAGGAAGGGAAGAGAAGAGACAAACAGAGCGAGGGGGAGAGGGAGGAGATAGAAAAGTGAAAAGCTTTTGATTCTGATTTTTCTTGGTCTGAGGAAGTTGAGATGAGTCGATTTGATTTCGTCTTCGATTCGATCACTCCTGATTTTTGTTCTTTCTTCTCTCCTTTCCTCTTCCAGTTTGTAGTCTATGTATTAAGAGCGACTATTATTTTTATTTTTATTTTTTTTTTTGGTCAAAGAGCGGCTATTATTTTTTTAATTTTTGTTAGTTTTAAGATCTACCACGTCAGTGCCATGTGAGATTGTTAGGTGAATAATATGATGATTCGTATATGAAAACAATGAAGATTATACATCATAGTTGGTAAAACACAGCTCTTAAAACTTTAAAAATTTGGGTTTGATTACTATCAATGACATTTTAATTTTTCTGACCCAACTAATATCCAATCATGGGATCGCCCCTGCATTTATTGTACCAGAAGGAGGGCATTCAGCATCAAACAATCAGATTGTTGACCCAACAAATGGAAAGAAGGAGACACGATTAAGAGTAGATCCACCTAGAAAACATAAAACACCATTACATTTCCTTATGTTTTATGTCGTCATTTTCGTTGATTATGCGCTATAATTTAGAACTTTATCTATTTTTAATTAAACTCAATGTGGTGGGTGGTGTTTAACCTATCAATATACATATCTTCCTTTAAGCTCAAATTAAGTAAACGTAAAATAAACATTGAAGAACTCACTTCCTCCGTATGTTAAAATGAGTTAAAAATATAATTTGAGATGTTAAAAGTATTCATCAAAAACTATTATACATACACTCACAAAAGTGAGTAATGAAGCATTATATATACATACACTCACAAAAGACCTGGAGAATAGAAATTCACAAAAAAAAAACCTTTAAGAGGAAGACATGACATGGTTAGAGAAAGCATGAGGACGTTGGTTTAGGACTCCCAGAGGTCCACAAAACCCACAAAACGACTCCAAAAAGAAAAGAAAAATGTTAAGTTAGAGTAAGTTTCTTATTAGACACTATATTAATTTGTTGATATTTTGTTAGGAAGCTTTTAACTAAATACTCTTTTTTTTCTCTACGAACTCCTAACTAAATTATCGAAAATGTGTCAAAACAGACTATGGTGTTACGCTGTTGTCTTCTATCTAATGACTTTATGTGGATAAGGACCAATAAGTTTGGTTCCAGTGTGTTTATAGAAGATAGTACACAAAAAAACAGAATTCTTTTGAATTACATTAAAAATAACTCCAGACGAACAAAACTTGCCTTTAAGCATTATTAGAATCAGAAACTGAAAATTTAACAATGTTTCTGGATTAATTTTCTGACACTTCTTACAGAGAGGCATATTTTACTAACATGGTATATTGTTCTCTTTAGTTGAAATCTATTTAAGTTTGCCAAAAGAATTTCACAAAGTTAGGACCAGTGTACACTTAAATATATAATTATATGATCTTTACTTGGCTGACATATTCATAGATAAAACTAGAGGTGACATAGATCGAATACTACCATAATTTTAAGTATTTTCGGTTGGCTTTGTATTTTACGGATATTTAATTTTCTGATTTGCTTTGTTTCGAAAAATTACGGATAATATTTGTGAAAAATTTACGGATATTTCATCCACTTTGTTCAATATAAATATTTTTTTTAAAACATAATTGTTTCATTAATTTTTTGTAAGGAACAAATCATAATTTCTTAGACTGCAAAAAAACTAAAACTACATAACCAAAGGCACCACATCTATTATATAAAGAAGAGTTGGATCACTCCTTAGGGTGTCCACGTAGGCTGACACGTCAGTAAGTCCACGTCAGCTAAGGATTTTACTCTCTCCTGAGCATGTCCACGTAGACAGATCTGTGGGCCCTACCAAATTTCGTTTTCTTCGATCTAAATCAAAATTCAAGAGACAGAGACTTCGATTTTGTAACGTCGTATACCACCATGAAAGCTATTAACAGCTTCAATGTCACCATACTCTTCATCTCCCCCTTGACTCCACCTGTATAAACTCCCCCGAACCCAAATCTCCTCTGATAGCTTCCATGGATGAGAAACAGTCAGATTTCCAGCACTGAAGCTCTGGTAATATCCACCAGCGCATCCATGGATAAGAATCCAGCGAAATAACCACCAAAGCTCCACCAGAATCGACCACCGGTTCCATGGATAAGAAATTTTTTTTGCTTGGCTCCATCTACAGCCCTTAATCCTGCAAAAAGCAAGATCCTCCATTTATGGCAAAGAGGTATGACCTGATATTCTAAGTCTCTGAATTTCCTATTTTTATTTTGTATTTTTTGCATCATCTAATCTATATTACACCTCAAGATGAATCTGTGATACAAGGTGCATAGCTCAGAACGGAGTAAGCCGGTAAACATTTTTTGAAGCGTGGATCTCATCCGATTTGATTTAAATTATTCTGCTTCTTTTTTGTTGTCATATTTTATTAGTTACTTTAAAACCTCTCTCTCTCTCTTTGTCTCTCTTGAATCAGTGATCAACTTTTTATTTGGTTTTTGATATGCTTCTTATAGTACAAGCTAGAGATTACCTTCTGATTGCTCTTATAGTTATTGGCTAGAGATTACCTTCTGATTGCTCTTATAGTTATTGGCTAGAGATTACTTTCTGATAGCTATTTGTAGTATAAACTTACCTTCTCGATGGCTCTTTGTATTATATTCCAGATCTTACTTTCTGATAGCTCTTTGTAGTATAGGCTAGGGCTTCCCTCTATTAAGCTATATACAGTATAGGTTACCTTACAATATCTCTTTATAGATCCACGGTTTCTTATAATGTGGCTGATATATTTTTAGTGTTGTTGACTTATTTGTAATGATGTATACTGTATTTGCTCTTTGTTTATGTTTGTGTAATATTTAGCAAATTTTTAGAAACTTACAGGGCCAAAAAATACATGCGTTTGTGGAGTGGACTATGCAGATTCAGTCCAATGGAGTATTACTTCTGATGGGTTGATCTCCTTCTATTTCAGATGCAACCAATGATAGAGAAATCAACAATAGAGTTGTGTAAATTTAATTTTTTATGGAAACCATCTGAGCGCGAGGATGACATTGAGATACTTCCTAATGAAGAAAGAGAATCCTTGAGAAGAATCTGACTGAAAATGAAGCAGCTTGGTTCTTGGTAGCCGGTAGGGCCACCAGATCTGTTCTTGGCTTCTTCTTATTCCTTATCCAACGGCTACCAGGTTGTTACATAATTTTCGATATGTATTTGTTTTGTTATTTAGGTAGATGAATCTTTGATGGTGTAATGGAAGTTCTGCATCAGCATTGGAAGCACAGGGAGATTCATTTGTTTGAAGATTTCGAAGCAAACTTTGATTTAAGGAGGAATCTCTAGGGTACGCTCGAACTTAGGATGACATGGAGTGATCTCTGCAACTTAGTGTTAACAAGAATTTTGGTGAATATACACTAACGTTCAAATATTTATATCAGGTGGCGAGAACTACAAACATCCTTCATCAAAACTGATGGCACAAAATCTTTAGAGGAAAAAAACAGCGTTACAAGGTATGTTACAGAATCTTGAATAGATCGTTTATCAGTTATGTTGTTGTTGCAGTCACTGAAGTTATTTGCTTACCGAGAAAGCGCAACTGAAGATATGAAATGGTAGATCTTGAAGACTTTGATTTTCTTAATGACTCTTTGGACGTGTTTTTAGGTTGGTGGAGTAGTAGTACTCCATAGGGAGTGTATGGAGGCCATGCATCTAGACGCAGTGGCAGTTTTGGGTGAGATTATTTCTTCCCTGATGTATTTATGACACCATACCAAGTAATTTCCGTTTAGAACTTTGGTTAGCTAGATAAGGTCTCAAGTGTCGAAGTACTGCACAGACTTTTGTTTTCCATCTGCCTAACATTTCTTTGTGGTTCATCGTTATGGTTTTGTAATCATGTTATGTAGCCATTCATCTACCCATTAACGGGGAAACTATGATTACTAAAAGCTGTTGGTGGATGAGGAAAAATGTTAGATTTATAATATGGGTTTTGTTTAAGTCATCTTTTTAACTTAGTTTACCAAACTATTTTGCCCCAAGTTTATGATATAATCTGATCTGATCTGTCCCGGTATCAGATTCTGATACACTGCTTTTTTTCCCCTTTGTGATCTTTTCTCCTGTCCCTCTAAACAATGTGAGATCCCAAAACCTGAAGCCTATCTCACATCCCACAACTAAAGCTTTTACACAAAACAAGATGACAAAGCTGAACCACCAAACTCTACCTAGGAGACCCGATTACATATTGTTGACATATTTATGTTTGTTTCAAAAAATTTCCATGTCTGCTTGAGATCAAAATACTGCCAAGCTTCTATCCTTTAAACCATATGTAGTTGCATGTAATGGTGTCTATCTATCTATCTTTCTGTTTATCTAGGATCAGATTCAGAAACCTTTAGTTTGGTTATGATTGGTTCCATTTGTATGAATTATATAATTTATGTTAAACGCCCAGCTAAAAACTTCTTAAAAACATTGGAAAATGTAATAAATCAATAAAAGGCTGCAGAATAAATAACTTAAATGTTGACAATAAAAAGCACTTATATTTAATTTACATGTTAAGATTAAAA